TCGACTCCGAACTACCCCCCCCCCCTTCCCCATCGAGTTCCACGACGATGCTAGATCATCAGTGAGCCTCCCTTCCCCTTTAGTCCCTTGGTGATTCGCCGTGGCGCTGGTGGTGGGAACCGCCAAAAGAGAACAAAAAAAAGGTTCTAGATGGTCAATCAGAGGCCAATCACATCTCCAAAACACGCTCTTGGCCGCCATAAGGCTGGCTACTACTAGGTAGCTACTCCTAGACACTTGCCAATTATTCCATGTTATATGCATTGGTTGGTTGATCGAGATCACAGTTGTTTCTCATTGGCTCGATTGCGGTCGCCATTTGAGATCGCCAATACCGTGGAAGTTCCAGTTTGCTCCTCTGACCTCCCTTCTTCCCTGAGCCCGCCGGGCCGAGAGAAGCCGTTTGGTCCAAGATTGAAGCTCGACAGTGCGTGGCCACACCGGTCTAGTGCACTTACTGTACTCGAGTAGCTCGCAATTGACAGGGCGTTTCATTCAACATGCAAATCGGAGATTTATTTCCTGGGCACTAGCCATTAGGGGTCATCACTCGTCCGATGCGCGCCAAACACATGTACTGCATGTCTACTCCGTAGCATCATCCGCAAGGCGACCGCGGCTGCTTAGTCTAACGCGGCTTCGGATCCCATGCAAGTTGACACCAGATGCAAATTAATAGTCTTGAGTCCTAAGGTCTTGAGGTCTTGCAGTCTTGTCCCTCGGGTCAATAAGTCGCCGATGAATGGGGACAAAAGCGGGGATAACTCATGCATCTTCTTCCACTACATAGGTAGTTACTCGTACATGCATACATGTCCCCATTTGAGTGCAGGAGACCGAGATCTGTTTTGGGAATTGCATTAGTATCCGACGATTAAGGCATCGATATTCGACCCGAGGCAGGCGAGCGAGATAACCTCGCTATACTATGGGCTGGAATTTGGTTCCGAGGAGCGGACAGAACCACCTTTGCTGGAGACTGCTGCGAGTCATACGCACCTGTCCAATAGACAAAAAATGACATGTGAGGTGGAATAGCTACTATTCAGGCAGTAGATAGAAAGTATGCGTAGTGGGGACACCATGCTGGGTGGAGTTTATATGGGTTAGTCTCCCGCTGGGAAAAGAGTATGCGGAAGATACGGATATGTAGGCTGGGATCCAGAAGGCTAACAACATCATGAGACGCATACCATTTCGACGCCTTGGCTTGAATTGGGGCTGATGGGCAGCAATGCAAAGCAGAGAAACCGGTCAGCATCTTTTCGCCTAGCCTCAGGCCAGAAGCCACTCTCCTCACCTTTTTCACAGATTGATTGCACCTTCACTGTTTTCATCCATGACTGGCCACCCTTCTCCTCATCTCCCCTTTTTTACTTTTCTTGTCACACGGGTGGTGGTCTTTCTCGCTTTTTTTGTTCCTCTCCGACAACAATACTCTCAATTGTCTTTCGCCCATCGCGCACCAGAGTAAAAAAAAAGGAAGCCTTCTGGGAAATGCGGGGTATTGATTGACCCGTCACGCATTGAAAGCCCATCTAACCAATGAATACTGGCATGTGCTGATGACAATTGAGAAAGTTTCAAGGCAGGTTTCTATTTGAACTGGAGAGAGCATGAAAAAAGGTATCTCAGCCAGTGAGTCTACCAAGCTTAGGTAGACCAATCCTTAAATAGTATGTGCATAGTACTATATAGCTAGGAATATCAGTCTCAGTTATCGATGGTTGAGTAATACCAGTGAAGTTGTGCATAAATCCACACTCCTCTCTATCAATTTAAACTCCGGCTGAAGAGCCAGCCAATAAGCGATGCTGTTTGAGGTTGAGGCCCTGGTAAGCAAATAAGTTATCTCCGGAGAGGAGGGGGGGGGATGCAGTGGGATGGATGTCCCCTGGCCTGTCTAACCAGTAACCACTAGTCGCTAGTCTATTTTTGTAATCCAAATCTCCTCTCAGTCACGGTC